ACATCGACGGATTTCGGTTGCGCCGAAAAATACTTGATTTTGGTTATATAATGTCCGTTATTTGGGAAAGTTGCACAGTTCGAAGCTTTCCACCCGGAAGCGTCCGTAGTCTAGGGGTATGATAGGTCCCTGCCACGGACCAGGCCGGGGTTCGAGTCCCCGCGGACGCATGCCTTTTGCGATGTTTTGCAACCTCGACACACACTGTACGTGATTTACACCCAACAACGAAATCCCACCTTGATAGTCAGCGCAATTCCCCGCAACATTGCCCCACCAGCACTGGCATTGCTGGCCCTGGCTGCTGTTGCCCGGGCTGCTGCCGCCCTAGTGTTGACCGTTTTGTGTCCGACAACGGCTGTCGGCGTGCATGGCCTCACTGCAGCTCTCGTCCCCAACACAGGCCGTCCTATGCTGGCCAACCAGCAGCAAATGCTTGCAACGCGCTGACGTACGCAGGCCGTTCAATCCACATTGGGTGTTTACAAGGAAAAACACACACAGGGCGCGGAGCTTTTCTACTGCCTTGCTCAGAGGCGCAGTTAGCTGCACCATTGCCACAATCGTCCGAGATCCTCATCAATCGTCCGAGATCCTCATCAAGTACGCATCCTGGTGACATGCACGCTCCCGCCCTCAACTGCACCAGCGCCATGGTGGGATGTCCGAGGTGAGACTGCCTACCTGTCTGCTGGCCAATAGCGCTGCAACATCCAAATTGCAGAAAGAGTCACGCGAGTCTTCACAGCAGCGCCTGCGGAATTCTATGCGCGCGATCCCAATCGAGGCTTGCTCGCTATCAGCGCCTGGCTTTCGGGTGAGACTCGCTCTCGCCGTGAGAGAGACTGTCCGGCATGGAGGCCCCGGCACGCTTCTATGCTGCATGCGTGCTGGTGCTGGCACTAATTAGATGGTCAAGTGCCCATGCAGGACCTCCAAGGTGAGTCAGACTTCAACCATGCAGTCTGCAAGTCATGCTGGACTTCGTCAGTTGAGTCCGCGCTGAGGCTGCACATGCAACGACTTCGATCGCACTGTCAGGCGCTCCCTGCTCTGGGGCGGCCACGTGGTCGCCCCCACGCCGGCACCGGTGCCAGTTGTCGTCGTCGTCCCGCCGCCCGCCCCCGCTCCGGTGCGGCTGGGAGGGTGGAGGGTGGGGCGGCGTGCGGGCCCGTGGGGCTGCCAGGCAGCCACCGGCAGCAGCCCTGCAGCCCTGTGCAGCCCGCTTTTATCTTTCATATGGTTTGTCCGCCACATGCCCACACGCCTGCTGCGCCCCCTGCGTTCCCCTGATCGTGCGCATGCTGTGCGTCAGGTCGTCGCGCAGCCTGTTGTTGCGGCACAGGCTGTCGCTGCCGCCCAGCCTGTGGTGGCGTCTCAGCCCGTGGTGGCGTCTCAGCCCGTGGTGGCGTCTCAGCCAATAGTCGCGTCTCAGCCTGTTGTGGCCTCTCAGCCCATCGCTGCTGCGCAGCCCGTCGTTGCAGCGCAGCCTGTTGTGGCGGCGCAGCCCGTGGTAGCGGCGCAGCCCGTGGTAGCGGCGCAGCCTGTGGCTGCTGCCAACGCAGCCGCTGTGAATGTGCAAACCAATGTGAAGCAGGTGGGTGGTGGGCTCAAAGCAGGATTGCCAGTGCAACGCGTAGGGGTTGCACTTCAAGCCCCTCTCCCTGCTGCTGCCAGTCGACGCCAGCTGTTGTTGATTGCACCCACCCAACAATCCCGCAAACTGCTTGCCATCGGCGCAGGTTAACTTGCAGGCAGGCGGAGGCCTGCTAGGGGGCCATCCCTGGGGCTGAACCTGTGTCTCTGCATGGCTGCCTGTGCCGCCTGGCTCCCTCTCGGTTTTATCGCCACTGCGGCTCTGCCCGGCATGATCCCAGGCTTGAATGTATGTGTGGGACAGGTATGCAAGGAAACTTGCGTTGCACAAACACGTCGCCATTGGCTCAACTATTCCCTTTGCCCACCAGAGCAGCCAGCTGCCCCTTGCCCTCATGTGCGCAGCCCAAAAAGAGAAAAGCAGCAGCCCGTACCAATATGCCAGCAGCTTTCCTGCTATGCAAGCTGAGTCACGCATGGCGCGCATGGCAACCAGGACAAAGGGGAAAGATGCAAGCAACATATCAACCATGCACCCAACAAATATGCCGTTTCAAATTGATTAGTTTGAGTCCAAACGGACGGCCATGGGTGTCAGAGCAGATCTCGAGCACAGCGGTCGATTCCCGAGCTGTCTTGCAATGAGCATCTCAGACTGCTACGAATGTGACGGCAAGCGCCAAGAGATGGCAGGCGCCAACATATGCAGCTTGGGGCGGCGCAGCACCCAGCTTGTGCGCTTGGCAGTAAGGCAGTTGGCAGAACGTATTTCACAACCTACGGCTTGCATAGGACCGGAAGTGAGAGCGTCGAAGCGCCTGCAGCGCCAAAGCCAGACGTGGGCACGGCCCGCGCGTCGCTCTTGAACTGTGGTTGTGCACGCAGGTTGTGACAAGCCACGCGCAGTCAATGATGATTGATTGCGACGGGTGTATATGTGTGTGTGAGGGGGTTGCCAGTGTCACGGTGATGCTGTGGAAGAAACACCACACAGCACACATCAGACACCTCAATTGCAAGCAGGCACCTTTCCCCCCAACAGAACGCTGTCATCAGTTATCCAAACATCCTTGTGCAGGCAGCTCACCGCAAACGTGCTGCACTTGTCCCGCGTGAAGCCGCCAAACTGCACTGTGTACTTGAAGGTCCGCGGATCGCACGTCCGAAGCGCCTGGGCTGCGTCCGGAGCCTTTTCGCCAGCACCAATCTTGGGTGCCGGAACGCCCGCAGGCGCCGACCAGGCAAACGTATCGGAGATGTACGCGCAGTAGCCGGCAGTGGTGTTGGGTGCCTGGGCAAACGTGAAGGGCTGCACGTTGGACGTCGCGTTGCGCTTGTCGGCCAGGTAGACCACCGCGGCAGCAATCGACGCGCGGTTGTCAGGGTAGGGCGTAGAGAAGCCGCAGGTCACGCCGGCGTTGGGGCTGGGCTGCAGCAAGAACTTCTTGCCGCCGCTGGGGCAGTTGGGTACAACAGTGATCGGCGCCCCCTTGCCGCGGGAGAGGACGACCTCGACCCTCTCGACTTCCACGGTGCCGGCGCGCTGGGGGTTGGTGATAACGACGAAGCCCTTGAGCAGGTATTTTGTCACATTGACCGCGTTGCCGCGCTGGTAGCTGACGCTCACGTCCACCTTGCTGAACCCACTGGCCGCAATGGTCAGGCTCTTGACCTGGAGAAGGGGGAAGGGAGTGGGGCCATGTTGACGGGCAATTTGTGGAGGGGGCGTAGGCGCACAAGGGTTGCACAAAGGGCCAGCATGGCGGCTGGGCTTGAGGGGGTGCGGCCTGGCCCTCGCTCAGTCAAGGGCTGTAACTCCTAAGATGCTTCGTGCACAGTGGTGCTTGAGTCAGGAGTTCTGAAAGAAGGCCATGTGCGACTGTCACAAGTGCACCGCCATCCACCCGGGAGCCCACCATTCCGCATGTTCGCAGCCCCCTGACCACCGACCACCCAACACCCAACAACCCCACACCTGCGGTGCCAGAGCCCTGGTGACCGACCACCTGTACTCAGCAGTGATGTTCTCACTAGTTACGCCCGTCATCCTCACGATTGGCAGGGGGCGTGCAGGCGGCGCGCAGCCGGTGATGTTGATTGAGGCCAGGGAGAAGTCTGAGAAGGTCTGATTGGTGCCCTCCACAGTGAGCGTTGCCAAGTTGTAGCTGGAAGGGGGGGTGTGCAGGGATGGAATATCAAGGGGCAGGATGATATCAGAGAGGCCGTTCCCAATTGCAAGGTGCCTGTCAAGCCGCGCTGTGAGGCTGTGAGTCAGCAAGCCAAGGGCCAAAGCGGCCAAGGCCGATGCACAGGGACCAGCATGAGGCTGACGCTGCGGCCACTCCGGACCGCTCTTTTTTAGGCAGCTGCTCTTGCGCGGCAGCTTGACTAGGCCGCCAACCTGCCAGTCCACAACCTCATGCCAAATGTTCACGGGGCCAACATGCGCACTCACGGCTGAGTGAGCGAGCAGTCGGTGCGGCGCCACGGGCCCCAGGTGGCGGTGTATCGGAACACTGCCGGGTTGCAGACCCGCTGCTCCTGCCCGGCCGGTGGCGGCGCGTTGCCCTCCACAGAGTTTGGCTCCATCAGGGGGTCGGCCTGGGAGCGCGAAAACGTGTCCGAGATTTTTGCACAGCGGCCAACCTGGAACAAATGGCAAGGGGGACGTGAGCGGGGATGGTGGGTTGCGAGCGGCAAGGGTCCAAGGTAATGTGAGGTATAGATGCAGGGCAAATTTGATGCAGGGGGCACGACTCGTTAGGAGCTTGTGCCTTGATGTCATAGGGCACAAGCCGAGGGAAGGCGCGTGGTCAAAGCACGGTGAGCACGGCAGGTGGGTGTGTGCACCCCCCACCCAAACTCCTGCACATATACACCCCCGCTTGATGATTAATTTGATGCATCGCTCCCGCAAGCGCGCTCGCTCACGCCCGCCCTGGCCAGCCCCTCACTGCACAGGCACGACCGCGCCTGCCGAGGCTGGCCCACCTCGTTGACGGCGGCGTCCGCCCAGTCGAGCCTCGACACAGGGCTGCTGACCTGCGCCCCGTCCAGCTGGAACGCCTGAGCCCGCAGTGCGACAACCCCCTCGCCGGCCGGCGACGCCGACGAAGCCGCGCACGTCACCGACGCCCGCGGCGGCACCACGACGCGCCCCTGGTCATCAACAGGGCACTTGGCGCGCACGAGCTGGGCCGGCTGTGCGCCTTGTGCGATCTCCAGCTGGACGTACCCGAGGTTGAGCTGGAAGTAGTTGGGGTTGTCCACCTGGATGGTCGTGTCGACCCCGAAGCCGCCCAGCCCGAGGAGGGCGCGGTCGTACCTGACGTCGTAGCTGATTGACACCGCCTTGTTCCAGGCAGTGGTGAGCGGGCCCCTGGGGGTGGCGGCCTTGGACACCTTCCACGCGTATCTGCGCTGCGCGAATAGCCTGGCGCTCGCAAAGCTCAGGGCCGGCGGCCGCTCGCAGCCGACGACGCGGACGCGGGCGCCTGCGGTGGAGAGCTGCTGCCTCTGGAAACGGCCGTCGGGGTCGACTGCAATAGACTGCTGCACCTGCGAACAAATTGATGCAGTGGATCGCGGTGCGCGCAGGAGGGATGCGCACTTGTGCCGGTTTCTGCGGTCCAAACAGGTTTGTTGGCACAGGGGCACAGCCGGTGGCCCTGTGCCGCTGCGTTCCAGGTTGACTGACCAAGGGACAAACCCGCGAGTCACGCCGGCAGGCTGACGATCGCACCAACCGAGCGGGCCAGCCTGCCTGCCCGCCGGAGCGCGTGCGGCAGCCTGCTCCTGGCCGACACGGGCGGCCTCGCCGCGTTGCCCTCACCTGGTACTCGCCGCAGCCCCCATCAATGGGGAAGGTCCCCACCAGCTGGGTGTACCCAAACGTCACAGACTGGCACACCCTGTTGCCCGGCGCCTGGACCCGCTGCCCGTCACGGAACCTCGAGGCCGCCAGCCCCCTCCCTGTCGGCGTGTCCCCGCGCAGGCTGGCGCAGCGGCCAAGCTCGACCTCCACTGCCTGTGCAAAGTTGAATGGCTGGACGCTGCTGACCACCTCGCCGCCGCCGGCCAGGAAGCTTGGGGAGACCTGCGCCTGGACGCCGCCGGCCCCGCCGTCACCGACAGGCACGCGGAAGGGGCACACTAGGCGTCCTGCTTGGCGATGGGGAGTGAGCAGCGATGCGTAGTGGCCTGGATCAGAAACCAGACCGACTCTGTGGGCCAGTACGGCTTGCCCTGTCTGCAGGCAATGCATCGCACGCTTGAGATGTTAGTGGCAGTGCCCAGCACGCACTGTTTACCCCCACCTTCGCTCCGGCCTGTGAGAGCGCCTACCTGGATTCCCCAGCAGGAGGCCAGCACCTGGGACCAGCAGCCCTGGGCACTCGATGTCCGCAAACAGGGGGGCCCTTGCGCCACGGGAGATCTGGAGGCGCGTGCGCCCCAGCAATGTCGGCAGCGCAGGGCGTGTGCTGTGATGGAGGGTGGAAATAAGGAGTCTCCTGGGTGCGGCTCAATGCGAGGCTTGGGTGGAGCGCGAATGAAAGCAAGCTAAGCCAAGCGGCAATGCACCCAGCCGTAGTGTATCCAGCCTTGCTTGGTTTGCAGGACACAAGACGAGTTTCAAAAATTGGGTACGGCTGCAGGCGCAGCCGCTTGGGGCCATCGCGCAGAGGCAGCAGCCGCCCGACCGCCGCCTCGTGCCTCACAGAGGTGTTGATTGCCAGAGCGCTTTGGGTCCCCCTGCCCATCCTCCTGTGCCAAAAACTGCTGGGCAAGCTCTTCAAGCACCAGATTCAATCCTCACCACCACTCACTTCTCAACCACGACCTGGCCGCCAAGGATGAGCGCCGTTGTCGGCCGCCCGCGGTTTGCGGCCATCTGAAACTGCACGGGCTGCACCTGGTCGTACTGCATCTCAAACTCTGTAGGGCCGATGACACGCGCATTGGTGCTCCAGAGCCAGGTCGTCACGCGCTGGACGGCGAGGCCGCTGCGGGTTTTTGGGGGTCGCCGGCAAGGGTGAGCAGAGGGACGCGCTGACAAAGACGCGGCCTGGTCAACAACGCAGGAACGGCATCCTGCAGTGGTGGTCAAACCCCTGTCAAGGACTCCTCAATCCGTAACATGGTGCTGCTCTGCGACTGAGCAGCTTTGCACCCGCAGGACAGTGCCTCACCGAATCGACACATCCAAGAAATCAGCCGCGGTCTGCGGGCGGTTTGGTGCAGAACGATCAGGTTTGGCCCGCGGTCCAGGGCCAGGAGGGATGGGGCCTGGTCCAGAGGCAACAGGGCCAGGGCCAGGGCCGTTGCGAGTGGGGGTGGCGGCCCCAGGCACGGAGCTTCTCGGGTTGACGGAGGGCTTCGGGGATGGGGCCGGAGGTTGCGTCTGCGGCGTGGCTGGCGAGGTTGCTGGGGCTGTGGCGGCCGCAGGGGACAGGGAAGGCTTGGGGGTGGGCGACAGCGAGGGAGCGGAGGTCGGCGCTGAAGGCGTGACAGACGGGGCCGCTGTGGTGCCTGGCGAAGCCTGTGGCGCGACAGTGGGCGACGCCCCAGGCGTCGCCTGGGGCGCTGGAGCGGGTGACTTCTTGGGCGCGGGCGTAGACGTTGGTGAAGACGTCGGCGATGACGATGGTGCGGCAGAAGTCTCAGGAGCTGGGAAACGGGCACATGGGGGGTGAAGGATGCACATCACGGGTGCGGGTTTGCAGAGTGGTGTAGGTGGGAGAAGGTCAGTGCTTGCGATTAGAGCTGCCATGGCACAATGCACGCGCCATCGCCCGGACCTATTGAATGAGCGCACCTGTTGACGAGGCCGGAGGCGTCTGGGCTGGCTGGGGCGGCGGCTCAGGCGCCGCAACGGGGCCCGGGGGAGGGGAGGGCGCTGGTGCTGGGGCAGCAGCAGCCCCAGGCGCAGGCGAAGCCACTGGACTTGGGGACGGTTTGGTGTCCTTTCCGTCGCTGGCGGATGTTGTGTTCTGGGCTGTGATGGGCTTCAGGCCACCAGCTGCATGCATCAGATAGTTTTCAATATTGCAAGAGTGGGGAAGCACATGAGCATGTGGTATGAGCTGCACCATGGCAGTTGGCGGGGGCTGAGCCACTGTGCCATCCAGCGGCGGCGTTGAGCTGCATTTGGCAGAGTCTGCAGAATATTGCGGCTGACATGGAGGCTCTTCTTCCTCCAGGAGCTTGGGGAGCTGCGATAGGTGACACCCCCCATCACACGCACCCAGGCAGACCGCCAAGGATGTGGCCCGAGCACAGCTTCACCCAGGGCCATGTGGGGGCCTTGGATGCCCCAAGCCACTCATGAACGTCTGAGACTCACCAACAAGCAACAAAACGGCCAGAAGCGCCGCCAATGGCACAGAGCGCCTGGCCATGGCGCACGATCTCGGCCACCTTCAGGACGGGTTTGGTGGTAAAAACACTTTCCTATTGACCAACTGTCCCGCTCTAGAATCACGGCACGGTGTCACCGGCAGCGGTAACCAGATCGCGCGAAAAGCTTTTCACCGGGTTGTTCAACACGATAAGATGAAATAGTGATAGTGCGGAAGTAGTATCATGTGTTCGGTTGATGGAGCCTGGTTGCGTGGTGAAAAATGAGCAGCAAAGCAAAGAAGCTATGCACCCCGCTGACTTGGCTCCGTTTGAAGTGACAGAAGCGTTGGCCAGCATCCAAGGCGCATCATCCGGTGTAAAAATAGGAAGATACAGAAAGCAACCGACAGTAGAGCATTGGCGACGGCCACCTGAGTCATCACGTTCTGCTTTCGAGAAAGGACTGGAAAGAGCACGGGTTGGGACCTTGAGTGAGACAAGACGTCGGTCAGGGAACGCATTCAACTGGTAAGAGCAGGCCACTGCTGCGATGCGTGGGTGCGTGAGACGACCTGCACTCCGGTCTGCCCGCGCTCGGCTGGTCGCTTGGCGGGGGCGGGAAAGCGCTAGCTGGGAAAGCACTCAGGCTTGCAAGCCGGCCTTGTGTGCATGCAACAACCATGCAGGTGATAGGCAGTGCGCACATCATGGCGGTCTGGTGGGCCCTGCTGGCGGCGGTTTATGCGTCATGTTTCGTGTGCGCAAGCAGCGCGCCAGTTCCAACGGTCGTTTACCTTGCGGCTCGCACCAAGCCGGTGGTGCTGTCCCCGTTGTCGGACGCAATGGTGGAGCCGGTGACCACCGATTTGATGTGTTTCTACACCCCCAAGGACATCAACACGACCATCGCTCAGACCCTGAGCGTGCGCCTTGTCGGCTCATGGCAAGAGCTGGGCTGCTGCAGCGCGTTTGGTGACGTCCTGCTGATGGAGCAGCTCAGGCCGCTAACAAACACCTCGGTCGCCCCGCCGCCGCGCCTAGTGGCCAGCTCGCGCGCGTCCCACAAGGACCACCCGTGGGGCGAGCCGCACGATTTCGCGTACACTGAGAACTATGTGGTGCGGCTGACGCCGGGCTCCATAATTGACCTGCAGACCAAGGTGTTCCAGGGCTACTTTCCCACATTGCGGGCCAACGTGTCACTAGCATATATTCCGCGGGTGTCAAACCGCCGGCGGTAGGCGGCAGGCGGCAGGCGGGTGCAGCAGGGCAGCAGCGGTGGCGCCCGCGACATCCAGCCGCTTCCCATGAACTCTTGCCAGGGCCCTGCAAGGCCATGACGCTTCTTGATTGTGGGGCCTTGCGTGATGGGGGTGACACGAAAGCGCATCAATAGTTAAGCACATCACAACAATTGATCTCCGCTCTTGCTTGTGCTGGCTGGTCATTTCAGACACCTTGCTTATGCTGCCGACAACACGTGCAGGCAACAATGCTACTTTTACGGTACTTGCAGGTATCTACACAAGAATGGCGGCTTTTTAGCTATCTAGGTGTGCACAACCTGCCTGCAAGCATGTGTTGTCTTGCTGTCATGCGCATGGAAACAAATCAGCACGCTGTTGACTTTTGGAAGCCTGTTTCGTTGCATAATACACAATTGATTGAGCTCCGCTTTGTTGAGTAACCTTTTGTTGCATAAAAGCTGCGTGTGACAAGCATTATATAGAAGCTTCTCAAATTGTGCTGATGTGTGCGCTCACATGCCAGGTGGTGTGGTCCACACCTGGCGACCCTGCATCCTGTTGGGCCTCCCAAGTAGCGATGACTGTGTGTGACGTGAATGCCAGCTAGGTGCGACAGCTAGTACAGTGTTCATAGACACTCCCAAAATCGTTCAAATGTTTGTTTACATCGTCTGCATTCATGGCGTCTGCATCACAGGCAACTTGGCTGTTCAGGGCAGCAACTGCATCCGTGGCGCTTGGCGGCTTTGCCCATGCAGCAACCAAGGGCTCTTCGTTTGGTGGCTAATAGGGTTTGATTGACGCTATCTTACATCAAGCAGAACGCCGCTCAGAAACATATCTAACTGGGTCCACTTGCGAGACGTACACATACCAGCACATGAAAGGACAATTTCATGTCCTGGCTCAACAGTGTGCGGTTGTGACGAGGAAGCAAGCAATTAGACCACCAAGGTCAGCGGTATTATGGACAGATGCGCCACAATAAACACGGCCAGCTCGCATCCCCCACGCAATTCCTTTCCACGGGCATGTGTGGGGGTGTCCTGCCTTATGGGCGGTCAGGTCTCTGCACAGCTGCCCAAGGATCTTGACAAGGATGCATGGGACACGCAGGACGGGTGGTTCCTACACAGCGGTGGCTCACGTCAACATAAACATCGCATACGTCTTCTAGCTTGTAATAGCGGCTTGCAAGAGGTCGGACAAGCGGCCCTTCAAGGGCCAAGTTGGCGATCTCGCAGGATGCCAGCCCCTTGCACGTGCCTGCGCGGGCCTTCATCACGCTCCAATAATGCGTTGATAACCTATCGTCATTCATCATTAAGCAGAGCTGGCCGTCGCTTTGTGCCACGCACGCCTAGCCGGGGCAGCAGCGGCCACAGCGTGAGCGAGCTCGGCGGTGTGCATCAAAGCCGCAGTGGTGCGTGCGCATCAGGTGCCCATGACTCCAGCCTCAGCTCAGGTGAGATTTTGGGGACCTCTGTCTTGCACAAATGAACCTCAAATCTCTCACGGCTTCGCCTGCTTCGGGACTGAGTGCTTGCAACATGAGGGCGCCCATCACTGCACTGCCTTAGCCCTCACCCCCGCGCCCTCCCGCCCCCCAGGCGTCGGCGAGGGGTTCCTCGTCAGGCCCGCGCGCGCGCGCGACTTCTGGCCCCTGGCGGACCTCCACTGCTCGGTGTTCTTCCCCGGCCAGCCGCACGACGGCTGGAAGGGCAGCCTTTCGCGGGTGGACCGCGTCCTCGCGCTGCAGATGAACCTGGCCCTGGAGCAGCGGCACATGGGCAGGTGCGCTGGTACGGCAGCAGCAAGGGGGCTCGCCCCCGGCTTCTGTGGGTCGGGGCGGCCTCGGAGGGACGTGCAGCATGGTGGGAATGTGGGTACCTGCCACACCGGGCGTGCTGGCATTCAACGCTCATGCAGTTGTGCAGCCAAAGGACGCAGCAGCTCAGCACGCCGTTCTGGCTCGCTCGCGCGCGACGTGTTTGCCTGACGCGCGGTACGCAGGGCGATATGCTTCATGGCGGTCGACCCAGAACACGCGGAGGAAGAGGCCGGGGACAACAGCAGCAGAAGCAGCAGCAGCAGCAGCAGCAGCAGCAGCAGCAGCAGCAGCGCAGACGGCTCTGGCGACGCAGGCGGTGGCGCCCCCAGTGTCGGCGTGCACAGGACCAGCACAGTCGGGGGCGCCGGCAGCAGCACCCTCCAGGACGGCGCTGACAAGCGGTGGAAGGGCCCAAAGCAGCTTCTCGGCTTCGCGCGGTGGGCCGCGCGCTCGGAGGTGCGGCGCGCGCTGGGCGTGAGCTTCGAGGAGCGCGGGCTGCTGGGTGCAGCGCAGCTGGACTCGTTTGGGGACGTCGTGCCGCCAAAGACGCTGAACGCGCAGCGGGACGGCGCCATCGGCTGGATACGGCGCGAGGGTGAGCAGGACCCGGGGCGAAGGGGGCGTGCATGCGGCTATGTGCCCACCCGCACGGGCGGCCGGACGGCCACCGCAGCAGCGCTGTCTGCGGCCTGCTGCGGAGGGTGGTAGCAGCGGAGCGCGCAGCTGCATATGTCGGAATGTTGAGGGCTGCGGCGGCAGCGGCGGACAGGTGGATTGCAGCGGGCAGACCTTCCGTCCTTGTGAGGCGCACATCGGCTGCCCTGCTGTTTGTTCCCATGCGCCTGTTGTGGCAGTCTTGTGACAATTCATCATTCAATCCAACAGGCATCTGCTACCTGAGCAACGTGGCAGTCAGCAGCACGGCGCGGCGGCGGGGCATCGCGCGGCGACTGATGGCCGAGGCGGAGGCGACCGCTGCCGAGTGGGGCTTCCGATGCGTATCCCTGGTACGCCGCCCGAGGAGACTGGGTCCTGCAGGCCGGATCCATCGCGGTCATAGCAGGAGCAGCAGCGGGGTCCTGCAGGCCGGATCCATCGCGGTCATAGCAGGAGCAGCAGCAGCAGCAGCTGTAAAGACCAATTGCAGAGGCCTTTGACATCCCTTCATGCACGGCCACCCGCTCTCCTTGGTTGTCCATCTCACACATACGCGCGATCAATGTCGCGTCCAACCTGCGTCCTGCTGTGCAATTCTGCCGCCCATCCACCCGCCATTGCAGCACTGCGACCAGGAGAATCAGGCGGCCTGGCAGCTGTACCGGGAGCTGGGCTACAGGCGCGTGGCACTCGAAGCCCCCTGGGCGCCCTACCTCAACGGACGGCCCCCCAACCGCTGCTGGCTGTTGGTCAAGCGCCTGCCGTCGGACTTGGTCGAGGCGGCGCGGCGGCGGCAGCAGGAGGCGGAGCGGGAGCAGCAGCAGGCGGCAGCCGCAGCAGCGGCGGCGGCGCAGTGTGAGGTGGAGCCTGAGCTCGGGCGGCAGGGCAGCAGCGAGGTGCGAGGGCGGAGCACGCCGCTGCTGGCGTTGTAGATTGGGGCGGGCATGGCGTGCCGCTGCACGCCCCATTTGCCAGCTCGCTTCGCTGTATATTGTGCCATGTGGGGGCTGCTCTACAGGCTGCCTACAGCTCCTTCGACAACCAAGTGCGGGAACAGTCACCGTTTTTGCTTGTCAATAAATGTAAATATCGAGACATGTCTTACTCTTCAAGAAAAGTGCGCGAACAGCTGAAGTCGGCAGCCACCGCCAGGCCGCTGCGCCCCTGCCGCGGGCGACCCGTCGCATCGCACAGCCTCAGAACGGCAGCCCGTCGTCGCCGCCAAATAGGTCTGGTGTGTCCTGCGGCGCCCAGAGCTTGACCGTGCGGTCGTACCCGGCCGACCCAATCAAGTGCTGAGGCGCCCCGCCCGCTGCGGCCCCCTCCTCCCCGTCCACGTCCATCTCGCCGCCCCCGTCCTCCCGATGCTGCTGCTGCTGCCGCTGCTGCGCCGCGCCGGCCGGCGGCTGCGGTGCGATGTCTGCCGCCATGACCTTGCCCTCGTGCCCGGCCAGCACCTTGAGCAGCGACCAGTCCCGCGTCGACCAGACCTGGGGTTTGACGGGGCCAGCAGGAGTGTGAGCAACGTGTTCAGCCGGCGTTACGCACGAGTGACGCCGTTCATTCTAAACCACACCCGATATGGTGACTGCCGCATCAAATGAAAAGAGGACACAAAGAGAACAGCAGGTGCTTGACGTGCACTGAATTGATGTGCGTCTTAAACTCAGCGCCACGACCACTGAAAGTGGAGCCGGGCACACCGCATGGTGTTGGCGCGAGTCACTCTGGCAGCCTTGTAGAGTTGAATGCGCACGGGTGTGGCCGCACCCAACTGCTGAAAGCCGCGATGCCACCCCGACACCGGGCTCAATTGAACCCCGCCCTCCATGGTGGGTGCCACCTCCACGCTGCCCTTTTCATCGTACACACGCACACGCCGCCGCCATGCCCCCTGGCCCCACCTTGATGGTGGCATCGTAGCTGGCGGTGAGCAGGTAGTGCCCCGCGTCCGGCTGCCACCGCACCGCGCTGACCAGCGAGCGGTGCGCGGGCAGGCAGTACGCGCAGGCCCGCTTGCGCAGGTCCCACACGCGCACGGTGTGGTCGTCGCTGCCTGTGGCAATCTGGAGGGTGGGTCGGTGGACTCAAACCGGTGGACTGAGAAGGCTGAACGTGAGTTTAAGGATCTACGGCAGGTTGCAAGCTCAGAGGTGAACACACATACGAAGAAGTGCTGAGCCAGTGACCAGGCAGCTGATGGGCAGCTGGAACAGCAGGCAGCTGATGGGCAGCAGGAACAGCAGATCAGCTCGGGATCGGCAAGGCAGGCATCCAGGCCACGGCTACACCCGATGCCATGCGACCAAATCATGCGGACGGTACGCAGTCGCACACCTGATAACCGTTGGGTGCAAAATCGATGCAGAGCACCTGCTTCACGTGACCCTCCAGCACCTGCACGCTGCGGCCTGTGCGGCAGTCCCACACCCGGCCTGCAGGCGCGGCAGGGGGGGGGTTGCGATGAGGGGATGTGGGGCGACGCCGGCATCAGACGGGAAGCAGCAAAGAGGGGGGGCGGGGGTAGGTCGCGACCGCAGATCACGTTGAGAGGGGGTTGCGCCCGCGACGCAAAGATGCTGCAGGACGACGGGCAGCCACCTCCCCACTGCCGCTGCACCTGGTTCGGCGCCACCTTTTTTTCATGTTGCCACACCGCCCCTGCTCAGCACCACGACCACTGCCAGCCCGTGCGCGCTCACACGCATGCGCCGAAATACTCACCTATCGCGTCCAGCCCCACAGACCCTGCCAGGCTGCCGTCTGGGTGGAAGGCCACCGCGTAGACCCCGCGGCTGTGCCCCTCCTGCTCCAGCAGGCAGGCGCCCGTCTCCGCGTCCCACAGCCGCCAGGTGCTGTCAAAGCTGGGGGTGGCCTGGTTGAGGCGAGTGTGCGTGCGTGTGTGCTGGTGGGTGAACAAACAAACGACTCGTAGCAGAGGGGTTGGACATCGGCCAGCCTCTCATGACGCTTGCGCAGTGCCGCTTTCAACCCCTGCCAACAGCGATCCTGGCGGGGGTCGCGACCCTGCACAGCCGCCAAACGTGCAGCCCCGAAGCTGCGGCGCCTCACCACGTGCCGGCCCATGGGGTGCCACGCGACGCGGCCCAGCCGGTCCGTGTGGCCCTCCAGCATCCGCAGCTGCTGCCCCGCCATGCTGAAGAGCGCCGCGGTGCCGTCGGCGCTGCCTGTCAGCAGGTTGGCGGCCTCCTCAGACTGGGGGACCGGAGGCGTGCGGGGAGCAGGCACGGCATTCAGTTGACAAGACTGGATGAAAGGGAAGGGGCGGGTGCTTGCGACGGCACTGCAACGCATGCAAGTGCCACCCAAAAAAGCGTGCTGCGAGAGCCCAGCAACCAGGGGCTTGCCCCCCCATCTCCGGCCGCCACATCCCAAGCCCCTCTGCGCCCAAGAGCATTCACGCGTCGTGACAGCCCGCAAACGCGCCCCACCTGCCCCAGCGTCGCCTGTGGGTGCCACGCGATGCCTGTCGCGCGCTCCGGGTGCGCCCTGAAGCCTCGCAGGCGCGCCACGTTTGAGCTGTCTGTCGCCCGCCACAGGTTGACCGCGCCGCCCCAGCCGCAGGCCGCCAGCACCGCGCCGTCAGGGCTGAACGCGCAGCCCCCCACGGGGCGGTCGTCCCCGATCTCTGAGCTCTGCTGTGCCAGCTTCTTCGCAGCCGCCTCGGACGCCTCGCGGGACGCCTTGGCGGCCTGGGCGCACGTGCAGAGGGATCGCTGAGCAAGCACGTATTGTTTGTGCGAACACCCGCAGATCGACACAAGATGTGCGGCGATGCAGTGGCTGAACAGCAGCGGCAATCTGTCAGCAGCAGCGGCGGCGGCGGCAGCAGCAGCAGACTTGCCCTACTTCCTACTTGGGCTGCCTGATCCTAGGCACCAAGCAGGGCGCCACCCCCGCACCTTGAGTGACCCGAGATCCTCCCGCAGCCGCTTCGCCGCCCGCACCCGCGCCGCTGCCCGCCCCAAGGACCACACAGCTACCTCCATGCGCGCTGCAATAAGAGAGCAGGGGCAACGGCATGAGGCAAGAAAGCCACCAGGCAGTATTGATGGATGCTGCGTGCCTTGATACGCTGTCAAAACCATCGTGGCTGCCTGTTTCTGATCAACCACGACACCCCCGACGTCCCTTAAGCAGCACGGCAGCAGCCCCCGTGCTCTTGTCTGCATGCTGCTTCAACCAACATTCTCATTCCTGCATACTCAATATGACCGCCGCGCACACGTCCCACAAGCCCCAGCGGCTGCTGCAATCCCTGCCCTGTCCCCCTCCCCCAGTCCTCGCACCCTGCTGCAGCTCCTGGGTGCCCTCGGTGTAGAACACCTCTTTCTGCACCACCACCTGCTCCTCCAGCACCAGCGCCCCCGTCACCGGCGCCCCCTCCAGCCCCGTCACGTCACGCTCTGCTATGATCTTCTTCAAGCGGTCGCGGCGCTCCATCTGCACGGGGGGCGTGTGTGGGGATGCGTGGCGTGTGTTGTCGAGCGCCCTCAGCAGGGGCGGCGACCAATGGCAGACAGCACCCGAATGCATGCCATTCCCCCCCATGCGCGGCAGCCGCCCGTCAGCACCCCCTGCCATCCAGCATCCACATCCCCACGTGGCCCTCACCTCTCTCTCTCCAAAGAGCGTGACGGGCTCCCCCAGCTGCCGCAGCATCTCCCGCACTTTGGCGTCATCGGTGGGCACGAGCGTCGCGCGGATCTTGCGGCGCAGCTCAAACTCGGCGAGCAGCTTCTCTTGCTCCTCCCGCTCGCGGCGGCTCGCCTGGCGTGTCGTCGTCGAGCGCGGGGGTGGAGCACGTTGTGCAGTGTACATTGACAGGCTGGTTGCGCAAGCGGTGGATTGTGCAGGCTCTGGGAGCGGCCAGGTGAAGCGCTGCGAAGCCGCAGCCCGCAACCACTGCAGCGACGCCGGTGCCGCCAGCGGGTATGCACCAGTTGTGACACCATATACTAGGATCATCCACGATGAACTGAACGCTTATTCAGCACCCAACCCCGTTCCCTGCTCGCCTCTGTGAGCTCAAATGTCGCCATCCTGACAGGAGCAGCCCCGCTGCCTGGAGAAGATGACTCAGAATCCAAGTACTAAATCTTCGCGCTGTATTGTGTTTCGCGGATGGTGGAACCTTTTGATCTGTTTGAGATCAGAGCCTGCTATATCTGAGGACACGTTAGGGGCTCTGAAACGCAACATATATGAAGTAGGATTGTGGGCTGCAGTGCTCAATGGCTCGATTTGCCCGTACGGTACCGTACGCCTCGCGCGCCAGATCTTCTGTATACGCAGCGCTGCGCCACCGCGCAAGTCAGTGCTGCTGGCACGTTCCAGAGGTACCGTAAGCCCCAATTTTTTCTATTCATTACGCACTACAACATCATTGGTTCCCCATTGTGTGTGTAGAAGTTATATGCAAAGCGTACGCACAGAGTCAACGCGCACTTCGGGCGCCCTCCCTCGGAAAGCATCGTCCAGACCTTCAATATACTTAAGATTTGGATTTTATTCAGCCCGTGGTGATTCGTACGCTGCCAACGCATGCGAGTCGCTTTTCGACATTCGCACGGCGCAACCTGGAAAGGAAGCGATGTGCAGCAGGCACAGCTGTGGCTGACAGACAGGGTACCTGAGGAGACGGTTACACAATGCTCTCGCGCATTCAGGCCCTGTACGTTGCAGGAGTCTTCATCCTCATCCATGGAAGCGCGTTGCTGTCTGGTGAGTCGACCATTGCCGGCATGCCACTTCGCGTAGCTCCTGCTCGGCGTGCCAGCCACGCACAGGTATCAACCTCACCCGAACCCCGCCAACGACTCCCATGCCTTTTTGCCCAGGCCTCACGCTGGGCCTGCTGTCCTTGGACACTCTGCAGCTGCAGGTGCAGCAGCGCACTGGTACAGCACGGCAGCAGTCCCAGGCCACGCGCCTGCTGCCCCTCGTTGCCCGCACCCACCAGGTGAGAGGTTGAGAGAACCCGCATGCGTGCAATCACCCGTCGACAGTTTGATGCCCAAAAATATTCCGCGGACACACTGGGATAACTAGCCCACCCGTGCGGTTGGTCCGTGCTGTCAGGTGCTGGTCGGCCTCGTGCTTTTTGGCGCAGCCGTCTCAGCGGCACTGACACTCTGCCTGGACCGCCTGCTGGACCCCGTGGCGGCCATCCTCCTGTCGAGCACTGCAGTCGTCGTGTTCTCAGAGATCATCCCGCAGGCAGTCTTCAGCAGGCAAGCAGGTTGTTGACTATACAGTCACCGCCTGTATCTGTCGGCTGGGCCCATCCTGGGGCTGCCGGCGCACACTCGTCAAAGTTTTGAGCTAGACCCTCCCGCTTTATCACCTGACAGTCATTGTACCAATTGCTGCGCCTAATTTCAATCTATTGCCACAGGCACTCGGTCTCGATATGCGCATTCTTTGCGCCGCTGATGCACGTCATCCTGTGGCTGTTCTCGCCTGCCGCATTCCCGCTCGCGCTGCTGCTGGATGCGACGCTCGGCCAGCCTGGGGAGGATGCGCTGTTTGAGCGCCAGGAGCTGCGGACTGTCATTGCGCTGCATGCGCAGGAGGGTGCGCTGGTACGGGCCAGCTTCAGGGGTTGAGTCGGCTTGCAGCTGCACAGAACGACCTTCTGCCTTTGTCTGTCGGCCTCAGCATGCGGTGGCTTGCGACAGTGAGTCTGCAAGCTGACGCCTGAGGGCAAGCTGCACTTGACATGTCACTGCTGCATTCATGGTGCGATGTGCACAAATGCCGGTGCAGGCATGGACGGCCCCCTGAGCCTTCAAGAGATGGGCATTATCAGCGGTGTTTTGGAGCTCACGGCCACGCCTGTGGCATCCATGATGACGCCGATTAGCGAGGCGCAGCCGCTGGCAGCAGAAGCTGAGATTGACGCGGCAATGGTGGACAGTGTGCTGCGGCATGGGATGCGGCAGGTGCTGGTGCAGAGGTAAGGGTGTAAGTGCAGGGGTGGCTGGAGAGTGATCAAGATGTCTGCTGTCATGTCTCGGAAGTGGCGCTTGTGTGGTGTTGACATTTCGTACCGGTAAAAAATAAGGGTTTAGGGTTTATAGCGGTACCAAATTTCACTGCCTGTCAGCAACATGCCTGCCAACCAACAGCACGTGGCCCCACAACCAACACAGAGCCAACAGAGGCCCTGAGGGCATTGTTGGGGCCGTCTCAACTCGGGACCTGTTGACTCACTGGAGTGCAGCGGGAGGCGACGCGGGCGCAACGGCTGCGCGCCCCTTGGTTGGGTCGCTGCCTGTGCTCCCGCTGCCGCGGGTCAGGGCGTCGGCGCTCCTGAGCGACGTGCTGTTGCTCTTCAAGCAGGTGTGTTGGTCGTGCTCATGGATCCATCGTTTGACAGGCAGCGACGACAGAGGCAATTGCATTGTCGCTTTTGAATGAGTTGACTTAGGCTAGTCGTCATCCCTTGACCCCTGCCTGTGTTTATCGCATCAACGCCTTGCCTCCTCCCACAGGATCCCAGCATGCACATGGCCCTTGTGGTTGACGAGTGCACAGCAACGGTGGAGGAGGAGCAGCAGCAGCAGCAGCAGCAGCAGCAGCAGCAGCAGCAGCAGCACCAGCAGCAGCCGCAGCAGCAGCAGCAGCAGCAGCAGCCAGGGATGCCTTCATTGTTGTCAGGGGCCCATCCGGCTGGCGACAACTCCCGCTCACAAATGACATCATCCTCTGGACTGCCTGATGGCAAAGCCGCCACAGCTGAGCAAATCCAGGTGCATGTGACGGCGTATGATGCTTCGCACGATGATGCAGACGAGAGCCAGCAGATGCACAATATTTCGGAGGACCCTCAGGGGCACCCGCACCAAGCAGCAGCGCGTTTATCACCCCTGCCAGCCGGCCTGCAGTCATGGCGCGGTTGGTTTGGCCGGCACAGCAGCGAGCTGCCTCGGGTCCCTGAAGCCCAGCGTGATGTGGCCAACAGCAGCAACGAGTGGGTCAGCCAACTGGGGATGCAGCAGCAGCGCAGCAGCATCGACAGCAACGGCGAGAGCACCCGCTTCTCCCGTTCCCGCTTCAGCGGCTTCTGGGATGCGTTGGGCGCTACGCCTGCTAGTGTGCAGGGATTTGTGCAAGCTGCTGCTCAGCACGAGCCTGTGGAGCCCCGTGCTCTGTCACAACCAACAGCAGCAGAGGAGGTCACCTTTACAGTCTGGTCCGCCTTCTGTGACCCCAGCGGCAGTCCCAGGCGCCTAGCCTCTTTCAAAGGCCTTCGCGGCGTGCCCACCCAGCTGAACGCCAACCCGCTGTACTGGGAGCCAGGCAACGCCAGCCAGTTGCACTCGCCGGGCAGCAGTAGCAAGGCCGAGTTAAAAGCGGCGACGCCGCGGGGGGGCGGCAGCGGCAGTGCGCTTGGTTTTGGGTCAAGGAGCCGACGGCTGCTGGGCCTCACATCCAATGACGCTGCAGCGGTGCCGCCGTTGTACCCCAGTGACGGCGCGGCAGCGGCTGCAGCAAATCAATTGCGGCCAAGCGTTGACAAAGCCGGAGGGAGGGCAGCCAACCGGCGTTCAACATTTGAGCGCATCACAGAGGGGCAGCAAGAGCAGGAGCATGAGTGCGCTCAGCTGGAAGGGGCGGAGCAGCAGCAGCAGCAGCAGCAGCAGCAGCAGCAGCAGCAGCAGCAGCAGCAGCAGCAGCAGCAGGGACAAGCTGGCTCGTCTTATGTGGTACAAAACGATTTGAGCGCCCTACCTGTGTGCGGATTCATCACTCTCCAAGGTGCGTGGTGGTTTGGATGGTCGACTGTCAGCCAGTTACACACATTGTTCATGGGCGCAGGTCGTCAACCATCGATGGCGTCAAGTTACGTGCGCTCACTGCCCCCGCCGCGTTGCCCCCCTTTTTAATTGCAGACGTGCTCACAGCGCTGGTCGGCTTTGAGGTGGGTCAAGACTCACCAGACACGGTGCCGCAGCCAGCGCAGCTGAGGCCGGCGGTGCCACCCTCGTCTGCAGCTGCAGGGAGTGCGGCCCCCTACCAACACGCCGAGCTGCGCCGAGCGCCGGCCGCGCTGCTGGCGGGCCCCAAGTTGGCATCCTTGCCCGGGACAAGGCCGCCGCGGCTGCTGCTGCCGCTCGCCACTGACCCGGGCTGCATCAGCCCAACGACACCTGGCGGGCGCAGCAGCGTTGGCGGCGTGGCAGCGCAGCTGCACAGCTCTGTGTCACGACGGCAGCTGGCGGGCGGCCGCCTGCCGTCCTTTGGGGGCGGAACTGCGCGGTCACCGCGGCTGCTGGTGGCGTCCCATGCAGCGGCGCCTTTGTCGCCGCGGCTGCTGTCGCACGCATCGCCACGTCTCATGCCGCACGCAGCGGCGCAGCAGCACCACAGGTGGTCGCTGCATGTGATGAGCGACTCTGGCACTGCCACCTTCGGGCGACAGCCTCAGAATACTCAGCAGCAGCCGCAGCAGCAGCAGTCAGGCTTGTCAGCAGCAGGTGCGGCCGCGGGGTTGGCAGCAAAGGGTGAGGGCGTGGCTGCTGACGTCGGGACTCGCGGGCCTAGCCGCATGACACTGAGCTCAATGGGCGGTCCGTGATTGGCAGCAATCAGGGGGTGGTCAACTTGAAGATATATAAACACAAAATTATCAGAACTTTATTGGAATTCGGGTCCTTCAATTCTATTGCGCCGAGCTCTAGCTGTGTGCTCAGCTTCTGCACAGGTTTGTTGTTTCCCAAGATATCCTCCCCTCCTGCCTATGACCTGCGGCCATCTGTCAGGGGTATACTGTTGTGCATGTAACTAGGCATTTGTGTTACGCATGTTGATGCCAAAGGTGGCCAGCCCAATGCTTGTCTCCAGTTAACAACTTGATTGAACCACTTCGGGTGGTCATGCCCCGTTGATTTCTATGATGGAGCCATGTGCGAGTAATTCGTCTGGAACACAGACATGATATGACCCGTGCTGCAGAACCACATACCAGCAACTTAGTTTGAGTTATCATGGTGATGGAGTGTGAGTGTGCGGCAAGGGGGCACAGCAGCCAGCCAGCCCAGAAAAGAGAGGGGACAAAGCTCGTATGCATGGCAGACTGATGAGCGCATCCCAAGACCAGGTTTGATCAGGGATGAAAGTATTCCTCAACTATCTTGAAGTCGTAGTCTGCCGTCGACGCTCACGGGGGGCGTGCAGTAGCAAGTGCTCAAACCGCAAGGGGTATTCCTGCCCGTACCCGTGTCACCCGTTCCACCGGGACTTGTATCACAACTCAACTGAGTGTGACAACGCGCCGACAGCAAGCACTGCAAATGAGGGGCTGGCGCATGGAGAGCAAGCACTGCAAATGAGGCGCTGGTGCATGGAGGGCAAAGTCAGCACTGCAAAGTGCAGGTGTGCTTGGGCTTGGGGTGCTTGGGTGACTCTGGTGTGATTACGTAATTGGTACTGCATGCTCCAAGGTCAGCGCAGCAGCAAGGAATGCCTTATGCGTTCTAAGTACTTACTCAGTCAGCCTGTACAGCAATCGTGATTGGGTCGCGGGTAGCCACCAGGGCTGCAACTCTGTCGGGAGCGCCCCGAGTGGAACGATCGTGCTGTAGATGAGACTCGTTTGTTTAGTATCAGCGCTGGTAACAGCAGCAGCACTTGCAGCAGCAGAACGGGCATCATCATTGTCAGCAGCAGGAGGAGCAGCAGCAGCAGGCGCAGACACTGGGGAATACAGCGCTGTTCCTGGCGCGCCGCCGCTGGACCCAGATGCGGCTGCAGACCCGCTTGCATATGTGAGACGAATCTTGCGTGCTGCGGACTCAGGCGGCAGGATCTCTTTGAATGCTGCGGTGCAGCTGCTGGCCGACGCCCGCGCCCTCGGCGAGAGCCTCCACAACGGCGCCCCGCGCGCCCGCTGGGCTGCGCTGCAGCGGCGCCGCGCCGCGCGGCTGGAGCGCGACGCGCCTTGCGACGCGGCTTCCGCGCCTGCCCAGCGGCGCTTCTGCTCGGCGGCTCGCCGGGTCGACGCCGCCGCACCAACACAGCCGCCCAGCAACCACCAAGGCGTCCTAGTTGTCGCCGGTGGGGCCCACGGCCTCAGCAATGCATACATCCTCATCCGCGCGCTGCGCCACATCGGCTGCCGGCTGCCTGTCGAGGTGGTATACTATGGGGATCATGAGTACCACGCCCCTATTGCACAGCTGATCTCAGTTCTCGACGGCGCAGAGGCCGTGGCAGCGCCCGACGGCGGCGCTCGCGGCGACGACGCCGCCGCTGCAGGGGCGCGGGGCCAGTGCTCTGCAGCGGAGGCCGCGGCAGGCTGCAAGGCAGAGGATGCTGCCGCGGCGCCGCGGCCGCGCGTGCGGCTGGTGGACGGCCTGGCCTTCCACGAGCAGCACCTGCGGCCGCTGGCGCCGCACAGGGAGATGCCTGGCGGCATCAGGGGTTTTGGCGCCAAGGTCCATGCGCTGTGTTTCGTGACGTCGTTCGAACAGGTGCTGATGCTGGACGCTGATAACCTGGCGGTGCAGGTGGGCGGGATTTAGTACAAACACAGACCAGTTTGTTCTGCCTTATGAGCATGCGGGGCTGGGCACTGGGCTCGACCCGCAGCCATGGGTATGCTGCAGCCTGCCCGGGTGTCCTGGGATGCGATTGTTTGGATGCAGGTTCGTGCGGTGGAGTGGCGTGCGGCGTGCGGTGACAAGTGCGTTGTTTGATGCACAGGATCCCTCCAAACAGCATGCGGTTGGATGGGCACCACCATCCCCACACAGCCGAGCCCACCGCTACCCACACCCTGGTTGCCGAAAACACCCTTTCGCAGGACCCCACCCGGCTGTTCAGCGACCCTGGCTTCCTGGCCCATGGCAACCTGTTCTGGCAGGACTTTTGGACAGATATGTGCGTGAAGGAAAGGGAGCGTGTTGGGCGCAACGCTCAGCAATCAGCGCCCTCCGCCCCACCACAGGCCCCGCCGCGACCCGCAGGCTTCACCTCCTGCCGCCCCTCACGCCTGTGTTCTTGGCATAGTCTCCCTTCCTCGTGCGGGGCTTTGCCATCTACGCACACCGTCCACACCCCGCCCCTTCCTTCAAAGGTGGGTCAACCTGAGCATCTACAGGCTGCTGGCCATGGAGGTGCCCTGGGAGGCCGACCCAACAGAGCTCGCGGCAGAGGCGGGGCAGGTGGGCAAGCAATGTCTCCTTGTATTAACTGCAATGCTGAAGGCTCCTGTCCGCCTCGAGGACATCGTGGTGGGTCACTCCACGGGGATCCAAGCTGCCACAGAGAGGGGGTGTGTATTTGTGTTGGCATCAAGGGGCCCACCCGCAGAGCAGGCGTTGCTGTGTCCTCTCTTGTCACGGACCAGGTCCTGCTTGATCGCGTGAGGCACTACGACACCCTGGAGTACCTCTGGCTGCTGGCCACACACCCAGAGGTGCGGTTGCTGTGGATGGAGGCGGACGCCGGAGGGTTGGCGTTTGAATGTGCCAAATAGAACACTCACAGACCAGTGGTTGAGGGCCCTCCATCGGACGGGCTTGGGGGCGCAGGCAGACTCGGCCAACTTGTGCCAGTCACCTGGTTAGCAGCAACCCGAGTGCGCGTGGCATCCCGGCGCCTGCCGATGCGCTGCAAGCAGGTGGTGGGCGCGTGCTTGTGGGGCGACAAGGACACATACAGGTGCGCGCACACGCACTGCCACTTGCTGTGAGACCGTGTGTGCTGGCTCGCCCCACTTGTTCTAGGCGCTTGGCAGCGGCTGGCCACGTAGCCCAGGGCCCGCGTATACGTTGGTGTTGACTGCAGGTGCCCGGCCTTCCCCCAACCCACAGGATCGCGTTCCATCTTGCCGGCAAGGGCCAGCAATACCAGGCCCTCCGCCCCCGCCCGCGGCAGCTCCTTGGCTCTCCCCCTGCGCCGCCGGACGCGGCAGAGGGGCCCGGGCAGGTGGTGCGGCCGCTGCACCACCTGGGTATGGCGCAGCTGGCTCCCGACGGCCGCAGCGTCATGTTCTACCACAGGTATTGCCGCATCTGGGGCCGTCTGAATGTGTACTTGCCTAGTATAAAATCAGGGCGCATTGTTGCTTGTATCGTGCGGATGTTCTTGTTTATTGGTTCTGCCGGCAGCTCGCTAGGTCATTTCCTTGGCCGCAGTGCTGTCGTCCCCCAATGCGATACCCCTCCTGATGAACTGGCCGCTGCACTACATCAATCACCCGTGAGGCGCGCAATCGCTCAACCAGCTGCCTTGCTTTCTCTATCGTCTCGTAGGACCGCGGCGGGCAAGCTGTTCCCACATTGCATCTACCGCTGGGGACACGCACTGTCCGCCTGCGTGCCGCTGTGGATCACGCTGCCCGTCGACCAGCAGCAGCTGCTTGAATCCGTGTCAGATCCAACAGAGATGGTCTTCCAGCCAAGCGCAGTGGACGCGACGTGGCATAAGACGCACTGCAAGGGCGCCAGCGCGCCCCGCCCCGACGCCACGCCTGGCGCGGCCGACGCGCCGTTCCGGCTGCCTGAGTGCCAGCCCGGCTGGCAGGGGCGGCGGCCCGTGCCGCTGGTGCCTGTGGCCGCGGTGCCTGTGCTGGAGGCGCTGCTGCGATGGGTGCACGAAGGGGCGTTCCTGCCGCTGCTGGCACACCACGGCCGGACGGGCGGCGTGGCGTGAGCGGAGGGCACGCGTCAGAGGGCCGGCTCCACATACACGCGCATTGCCTGCTGGCATGTGATCGTGGCCGCCATTCACTGAACGTATGTTCCTCTCTGACACATCCAAGTGCGCCAGAGCAGCGCGGTAGCTGCTTGTGTGCAACCCCAGAGGCTGCTCATGTACCTTGATTGTTTGCTTTCCTCAAGCACAATGTTTACGGCTACTCTGTAAGTTCTTTGATATTGTAGTTTGTGCCTTTCTTTACAGTGGGTAGCGGCCAAGGGTACAGGCCCAGGGCGGCACAGGGGGCGCGCGCGCCTTGATAATGCCGAAATGACAGGGCAAAAAGGGAGAAAGCTGCTGCGCCGGCTGGGCCACGGCGCGTCAGGAAGGTCACTCACAAAGCGGGCCGGCAAGGGCGCCGCTGCGCGCGGCACCCCCACCGGCCAGGTCAGGTCATGTATTCAAAAGAGAGCGTGCGGCCGCGCGCGCTGCCACACACAAGGAAATAAATTTGGTCCCATGCAGGAGTCGACACGGTGCAGGGGCGTCGCAGCGACGGCGTGCTGCCGCCTGCAAAAGGTGCTGCTCAGGGCGCCTCGTCCTCGCCCTCCATGTCCTCGTCCTCAATCTTGGGGGCGAGGTAGAACCGCAGGAAGCCCATGTCCTGGATGGCATACTCCACCTGGCGGGGGGATGGGTGCGGGGTATGGAGGGTAGTTGAGCAAGGCGAGAGGGCAAAGAGCCAAGGGAGCGGCATGGGAGGCATTGCCTTGAGTGCAGAGCGCGTGACAGGACAAGCCCCGCCCACGCCAGCATACGCGCCTTGCCGCTTGCCGACGACCGCTGCGCTTGCCGCTCGTCTCAGCCAAGCTGGCCTATGCTGTCTCCTCACCCAACTCTTTCTACCACCCTCGGTCAACACACCCCGCCCCGCCTCTCCCGCGTTGACGCGCCTCCATCGGCCGCGCAGCACCCTCCCTCCCCATGCAGCAGCCCCCCCAAAAGCCGCCCACCATGACAGGCAGCTCCCGCGTCATGCTGAGCGTGACGTGCGTGGCCAGGGGGGTGGCCTTGGCGAAGCTGGTGAGGTACCGCAGCGCAAAGGTCAGCGCCACCGGCTCCTTCAGGTCAATGATTGTCTGGTCCTCCTTCTGCAGAGGCGCGGACGGGGTCAACAACGGTGGAGGGCTGTTAGGGCACTTCTGGCGGCGGGGTGGTTTGGCTTTTGCGGGTGGTCACTGCAGCGACCGTGAGTTGCCGTGAGGGCGTGCCAGGGTGGCAACGCGTGCGCTGAGCGCGCCTTCAGGGTGCGTCGCGTCCCTGGGGCCCACAACAACATGGCTTGTTTCCAAGGGCTAGCAAGCAAGCACGGTTTGCTGCTAAACAGTCCATGCGAGCACTCACCTTGTCCGCCGTGGTGTTTTGCCGCACGGTGACGTTGGCGGTGCCGACGTCGCCGCTGGTGGTGAACTTGACGCCGTCCTTGGTGGCGCTGATAACGACTGAGGTGGGATAGTGGAGGCCAAGGCAGGCTACGTGTCAGCCAAGCGGGTTAGGGACGTGCATGCGCCCAGCTGATGGCATTAAAACCACGGCAGGCGCAGCCGCCTTGCTTTTTAAGCCGGGCTGTCTGGCCTTACTTTCACTCGCCTCAGCGCTGTCATGCTCCCCCCCGGCCCTTGCCAGGACGTTCTACACCTCCTTGCATTTGCCCCAGGACCCGCAAGGAAGCAGTGACAACAATTTCCCCATTGCCAGCTCTCACGAACTGGCCCGCTCCTCCACCCATCACTCCGAACCCGCCCACCTGTGTCGCCAATGCTGCTGAGGTCCTTGCAGATGCGCGCGTACTCGCCGCTGGGCATTGTCACCGTCGCGCAGTAATCCGTGTCGGGGATGCCCAAGTGCTCGCTGTCAATATCCATCAGCTTCAGCTCAAAGTCTGACACACGGTCCTCCTCTGATAGAGGGGGTGGTTGGGGACGTGATTGGTGTTCAGTAGGGAGTGATTGGCGGTGTGCGAAGATGGGCGGTCGATGCCATCTCGCTTCCGGGTGCAGGTGCGCCTATTCCTTCCAGGCTTGCACGTGTAAGCGTACAAGCGCATTCAGCATCCCTCTGACCAATCCTCAAGACATCCTTGAAATGCATGACACCGTATTGAGCTGGTGCTGCCCATTGTTCCGCCTCTGCATGCTCACTGGGGCTCTCAAACATAAAGGTGACAGTGTCGCCATCGTCGTTGGCCTTAAGCGTCACGATGTCGTCGTTGCCTGCGCACTTGAGCACCTTTGCCAGGTTGGCCAGGCTCATGCCTAACGTGTTGTGGAATGCACGGGATAGGGGTAAGAACCTTGATGAGGTCAGCGGTCCTGTTGGCGTGCATGCAGCACTGCAGCAGCTCGCAACGCATCGTACAATTTTGCTGCTGCCATCCCACCATCAGCTTACAGCAGGGATTTACAAAACATGCTGCGAGAATAATCAACGCCACCTCGGCTGCTGAACAAGGTCTCATTTTGAACTTCAGAGCCTCCCCGCCAAGATCGGGGGACGCAGATTGATCAGCCTGCAGTTGTGCCAGCTCACCCATAGACATTGCCCGATCGCATCGAAAGTGCTCAAATGCGTCTGAGCGCAGGTGCATGGCGATCAGCGAGACGTGAGAAGTGTCCATCGCCTGCAGCTGAAAGCCTGACGACGACACGTCGATGTTGGCCTCTGTCACAAGGTCCTACAATCGAAGGGTTTCAGAGGGGCAGCTGTGGTGAAACGAGGACGATGGTGCTTTGCCCGGGTGTGCACACAGCAGCCTCGGCACTCAGCAGCCCCTGGAGCAAGGCTCCACTCTACGCACCTTCACGGCATCCACCACCTTCTTCAGCATCCCTCCTTGGACTAGGCGTGCCTCAAGCATGGCTGCTGCGGCTTGGCGCGAGATCTGATCAGGAGGCGCGAGCAAGTTGTTCAAACAATTTTGCTTGGGAAGTGATGAAGCACGAAGCATGTGATATGATAGGAAGGGCTCGAGTAATTCGAATGGCCCACGGAAGGCGAAAAACTGCCGTTTGAATCGGGGTGATCATTTTCACGGTGAGAGCATAAGCGCCAAGCAGCGTGGTATTATAAGTTATGTTGTAGCTTGTGTATTTTGACTGTATAGCAATGTTTCCTGCCCGGTCCCTGGAAAGGTCCGAGGGAGACGCCGATGGGCAAGGAAGCGTTCTTGCGGGTCCGAACATGGCCGCGTTCAAAGCTGTGGGCGCATCTTCAGCATCTAGACGCCGCGGCAGATCTAGCTGGCCGCCGCAGGGTGGCGCGGCGCCATCTGAGCAGCTCGCGGCTGGTGAGCAGCGGTGTCGTGCTGCGCCGCTCGTATGTATAATAACGAAAGCCCATGCGAGTCACTGAGACAGGCTGTGCTCGCTCTTGTGTATTGCATGTTGTTGTGTTGTATTGTATACAAGGGGTTGGCACGACGCCCATGTACACAGCACCAGTTGCCGCTGCCACGACCACTCCCTGGTTCGTAACAGCAGCAAACACTGGCCTGCATGCCACACAGGGACGGCCTCCCCACCAGCAAGCGTGCAGCAGCAGCAGCAACAACAACAGCAGCAGCAGCGCAGCAGCGGCGGCGCGCAGCCCAGCAGCGGCGGTGGCGATCCGGACGTCGTGCAGCTGCTCGCGCCCGCCGACGCCAAGCGCCTGGTGCGGCGATACGAGCAGCTGAGGCGGGAGCATGAGGCCCACGAGCGCGCAGCGGCGCCCGACATTATTGCTGCCAACCAGGTGCGGAGCGGCGTGCGGCGGCAACGGCGACCATACCGGTTTGCATCAGTTGCGCAATCAGCACCACCCAGGATTGTTAGGAGGCGGCTGCTGCGGGAGCTGGCGAGGAAAGGATTGGCACCGACTCATCAAGCGCTCGCTTCCGCTGCACCCCTAAATCGCAAGAACCGCAGGCCCAGCTGCGCCAGTGGGCGGAGCGCGCGCGCGCTGACCTGGTGGCACGCAGCAGCAACGGGCCCCCGCTGCAGCGCACAGCATCGAAGGCAGCAACCAGCCGCTCGGGTGGCGCCGGCGCCAGCGGGCCGGCGGGCACCGGCACCGCCAGTGCGGCGGTGTCGGGCGATGGGCGGGGGGATGAGGAGAGCGGCGACGGTGACGTTGGCAGCGGTGCGCCCGCCGCTTCCGCCGAGGAGGCGGACTCAGACGGCAGCTATGAGGGACCGCGCGGCCGCAAACCGGGCAAGCGCAAGCTGTCCCCGGGGGGGCCGAGCGACCCCTCTAAGCGGCGCGCTGCGGCGGCGCCACCAGGGCCGCCACGAGCGGGCAGCGCTCAGCAGCAGCAGCTGGGGCAGCAGTTGCCCGAGGCGGATGCAGGGACGGATTTGCCACTGGCGCTGCGCGGCGGAGCGGGCATCAGCACTCGGGACGTAAAGATTGGGCGCTACAGAACGCACATGCTGCCAGCGCTGGAGCGGGTGCGTTTTGGGGGGTATCAGGGAGTGGCTCAACCGTTGAGGAGCGGCTTGTTTGCGCGCATGACGGCTTTCGAATACATAGTGCCGAGCCACGCGTCCCGCGAGACATTAACGCCCCAGGGAGCGTGCATCGTCCTACATTATGAGGGGTGGTCGCCCCTCAACGCCCGGCAACGCCCATGTGCCCGCCGCCCGACATCCAAGGAGCGCCTCAGCCATTTACGAGTGCGGCGATTCGCGTGTTCCTGCCACCACCCCACCCGCGGAGCGCAGATCCCGCAGTTCTGCTCCTGGGACTTTCTGGTGTGCAACGAGCTGGCGCGGGACGAGGGGCGGCGCATGTACTATGTGGATGAGCAGGGGGAGACCGTGCCCGTGAGCGACGACGAGGACGAAAAGGTGGGCGCCTGGGAGTGGTTGCAGGAGACTCTGGCAGGTCGTGTCGCCCTGGTGGGTTTGGTTGTGGTTGCTGGTGGGGATGATTCCGTGTATTTGACTGTGTATGACAGGGTGTGTGAGGGAGTGAGGGTGTGATGGATGTCTCAGAGAGCGCGCGCACGCTCGTGCTCTCCACAAATCGGGGGCATAAATGCAAGAGAAGGGAGTGTGTGTGTGCTTGTGGTCGGCAAATTGCGGCGGTCTGAAATACTGTGGGTGCGGAACACGATTTGTCGTTTGGCGCTGGCGAGCTCGTTTCTGTTAGGGATGCCGCACAGCAAGGCGGCGGCTTTGGGCATCGCAGTTGCAAAAGGAGCCCGCGATGAGGGGAGAGAGCGCACACGCAACCTGACGCGCTGTATAACGTGTATTTTATACGCACTGCTTGCACTGCTGCGATCAAGAGCCTCTGCAAGGGGTCCAGCTGTCGCCCTTTGTGCTTTATGTCCCCAACACAAAGCTTCACATCAACCACCTCTGAACACCCCCTCTCAATCAAACCCTGCATGGCGCAGCACTACCTGCCTTGGGACGGCTGTGATGGCCCCGGGCACGACTACGCGCTGCGGACGCTGCTGGCTGAGGAAGGGGAGGGCCCGGGGGTGAGGGGCCCCACCGTCAGAGCCAAACCCCGGCGCGCTCCATGCCTGGGTGCCGTGGGGGCCGGCCCTGCACGCCTGTGATCCGGGTTTTGCTGGCCAGGGCCCCGTACCGCCGTCCCTACGGCCGGCCCTCAGTACCGCCCCGTCCGTGCTGCCCGACCATCTGCTCGCCCGTCCCGCCCGGGGCCCTGGCTGCCCCACAGGTGATCGCGGCTTTGGCAGAGCACTTGACGGTGAAGACCGAGTGGCTGCTGCGCCACGTGGCGACGCTGAACCCCGCGGAGCGGCGGCGCGACGCGGAGATATGGTGTGAGGGGGTGTGGGCGTCAAGGACTGGCGGCAGGTTCGATTCGCATCGAGGGCCCTCAGCACACAGTGCAGGGTAGCAGTGTCGCCTCATTCCAGCCCCTGCCACGGCGCCATTGCAAACCCTCCCCTGGTTGTGCGCGTAAGCATGCGTGCACACGAGCACACACACACGCCCACGCCCACATGCACACACACATATGTACTCAGACACACACTCACATACACATACACACATATACGCACTCAGACACACACATTCATACTCTCTCTCACACACACACACCTACACACACTTATCCTGCTTGACTCAGGTCACAAGAATACGCCAGCCAAGCTGCCGTCCTTGACGCGGCCTTCTGCCGCCGCTGCAGCCTCTTCAACTGCCGCCAGCACGGCGGCGGCCACGTCAAGCCCGGCGCGCGGCAGCCGCTGGCGCCGCCGCCCGGCGCAACCGACGCTCCCTGCTCGCCCGGATGCTGGCGGTCTGCTTTGCGGGAATCGGGAGGGGCGGCTGCGGAGGAGGGCGAGGAGGCGGAGTGGACCCCCTATGACCTGGGTTTGCTGCAGCAGGCGGCCAGGCTTCTGGGGCCGGACCCGTGCCAGGTGTGCCTGGCGCTGTACCCGCCCCGCTTCAGCTGCTTCCAGGTCAAGCGCCGGCTGGACGCACTGCTTGCCGCCGAGGAGGATGAGGAGGCCGGCGGCGGGGGCGGCGGCGGCGGCGGGGAGGATGCGGGCGGGCGGGGGGCCGGCAAGCGGGGCGCGGCGCGGCGGAGGAAGAAGGTGCGCGGCGGCGTGGGTTGACAAACCGTCAGCTTCAGGGAACCCCTCTGTGCGTCCTCTCACCTAGCAACGTCGCATTGCGGCCGCACATCCCACATTCTCCCTCACCTGACTGACGCGTTCATGTACATGCCACCTGATCACGCTTTGTGCACATGCGCGTGCGCACACACACACACACACACACACACACACACACACACACACACACACACACACACGCGCGCGCGCGCGCGCGCACGCACGCACGCACGCACGCACGCACCTGTCCCAGATGCTGAACCAGCAGGGCAAGGCGGCGCGCAAGGCGGTGCTGATGCGGCGCTTCCGCAGCAGCGAGGAGGACGGTTGGCCCGCGTACACGCCCTGCGACTGCGTCGGGCCCTGCCGCGAGGGGGAATGCAGGTGCGCCTCGCCAAGCACGGCGGTCGTGGCGCGCCGTGCCACGCCGCGTTTGCGGCTTGCTTCGCTGTGCTGCGCTGAGCCCACTGTGCTGCTTGCTGAGCAAAGGGGTCCCCTGTCATTGAGGGCACTGCAGCAGGCGCCTGGGCCAGGCTGCGCGCCGCTTGCCCGGCTGGCTGTTGACGGAGCGGTGCCGCACCCCACGGCTAGGCGCCCTGTCTGGGCAAGCCCAATTGCCCTCTCCCTCCTTGCCCCCTCTCCTTGCCTTCCCTCCGCAGCTGCATAGCCTCCGCGAATTTCTGCGAGAAGTTCTGCGGCTGCTCTGGTTGCCCTGAGACCAAGTGCAGGTCTGTGCCTTCACCTCAGACCTGCACTCGTGCTGTCGACTGCCCACATAATCTTGCTGCGGACAGTCTGCACGTTTGCTCTGGACCATTGACATCTTATGCTCTGTGCTGCCGCTTTTCCTGTGGTTTTCTTCAACGCGGATGGCCGCGCCTCACGGCCTCACGCCGGTCTGGGGTCGGCTAAAGGGCGCGCCCCCGCTTGCTCTGTCCGCTGCCGCCGCAGACCGCGTCTCACGTTCCGCGCCTTTGGGCCCCGAGCGACTCCATCAAACCGTCTGCCCAGCCATCCTTCAAACATTCAACCCAACGTCCGACCAGATTTGAGGGCTGCAAGTGCACCACGCGCTGCCGCACCTCGCGCTGCTCCTGCCTGCTGGCCAACCGCGAGTGCGACCCAGACCTCTGCAAGGGCTGCGCGCCGACGTGCGACGGCACGGCGCCGCCCGGGACGGAGTGCTGCAACATGAACCTGCGGCTGCGGCGGCGCAAGCGGGTAGTCATGAGCCTCTCCGCGACGCACGGTGGGCGCACACACAGGCGCACGCACACGACGCAGCTTTCCTGTACAATGGGGGCCGCTGCACCAGTGCACATCAGACTATACCAGGCCGACATTGTGTTTCACGGCGACACTGTGTGGAGTGCACGGCCCCACTTCAAGTGCTGCACGTCATGCCACATCCCCTCAACCCCCGCCTGTCTTGCACACCAGGCTGGGGTGCCTTTCTGGCAGAGGGTGCAGCCAGGGGGGACTACATTGGGGAATATGTGGGGGACCTGCTGGGGCAGGAGGAGGCGGACAGGCGCGGGCGCGTGTACGACAAGTGAGGCGCGGCAGCTGGTTGCGGGGTGGGGGGGGGGGATGGGGGCCTGTCGCGGGGCTTGGCGGCCTGTGGCTGAGAACTAGCGCAGGGGAAGGGGGCGTGGCCAGCCATCAAGATGAGTGTGGCCTCTGCGGGGCTTAGGCACCGGGGGCCGAGGGAATGGGGGGTCAAGGGTCCAAGGGTCAAGTGTATTCGCGTTCAATGATGAGGGGCGCGATCATGGTGCATCGATGATGCCTCTGGCGGTCAACGCCAGCCCGCCCCTGGGGCCGCGTCTCGATCACGGCCGCTCCCCCCCTCGTCGACCCCCCTCCCCAAAGGATCGACAACTCGTACCTCTTCAACGTCAACCAGCAGTGGGTGCTCGACGCGCGCCGCCGCGGCAACAAGCTGCGGTTCGCCAACCACAGCACGCGCCCCAACTGCTCCGCGCGCGTCCTGCAGGTGCGCCCTGTCCCCGTTAGGAGCGGCTGCCACCCATGCAGCGCCTCGTAACCCTGCTTGCGTTTGCCACATTCGGCACCGCTTCTCCAGTGGTGCCCCAATATCTCTGATCAGCTGTGCACACATGATTGCCACCGGCCACCTCAGGCAAACGCAGCAGCCAGCCCTACAATCCCATTCCGCCCGCAAGCCGAGCCCTGCCCAATGTGACTTTCTACAACTAAGTTCCGTCGAGCAAAATTCCGCAATAAAACCCTCAACTCTGACGACCCCATCCCTGGCCGCCAGGTTGACGGCGACCACCGTGTGGCCATATTCGCGGCAGAGGACATCGCAGCGGGCGAGGAGCTGTTTTACAACTACCGCTACGACATGGACAACGCCCCGGACTGGGCGCTGGCAAACTGATGCGCGGACTGGCGGGACTGGGCGGGCCTGCAGCACAGCAAACTGCCATGCCGGCAGCTGCGAGGACGGTGTGCGTGGCCTGGTGATTCTGGTGTGGGGGCCCCGAGCCGGCACAATGCCAGGGGCGGTCCCTGGTCAAGAGGCGGTATTTGTGCATGACCCCCGCCCTCACCCCCCAAACACACACACACAATATCACACACACTCACACTGATCCACATTCACAATTGCCGGAGTCACTGGCTAAAGATTTGGCAGAGTCAGCCCAATGCGACCCACACTCACACCAAAACACCCGCACAATGACCAGCCACATGCTGACCTCCCACAACGGGGAGGGGTGGCATCTTGCGGCTGTTGATGAAGCGGACAGTGCGCGGTTGAGGGGTCTTGTTTTGGATTGGGCCTGTTCTGCCGCGCGACCAGCAAGACCTCGGATACATTACAAGAGATGGCCGTTGTGAGCATGCCGGGTGTGCAGGCAGCCTCAATTGGGGCCCCCTGCCCCTGCTTCCCTCATGTTCATCTTGTCCTTGTCACCCTGACATCATCGCTGCGCTCGCATCCCTGCCCAGCAACCTTGCACGGCAACCCATTAGCCCCTGCAACAGGGGCATACAACTTCCTCTTCTGAATGCTGTATTTGAGTAAGATTAACTGCACGCGAGCCGGCCAACGTCATTCAACAGTGGTCAGCCTGCGACGGCGACTTTCCTGCAGTGTTGTGACGTGGTGATGGACGAGCTTCTTGAGAAGGTACAGGCAGACGGCGCGCACGTGCTGCGAGAAACCTGTTTTTGCCACGCGAAGGCGGGAAAGGGTGGCCGGCAGGTCGCGCAGTGGGGTGTTTGCAAAGGGGGGGGGTTGAGAGGGCGGCTACAGAAAACCGAGGTAAATGGGCATCACAAACCTGAAGCCACTGAACACCTTAGATTGTGTCCTTTCCAGTGGTGAGGCAGACTGGCGTTCAAGTGGGTGCAAAGTGGACCTAAAGGTTTTGCCTTGTATCCATGTTTGGA